GCCACAACATACAAGCCAACATACGCCAAGACAAGACGCCGGATATCGACTTCAGGGATAAGCACGGCTAGTCCCCTACGGTGTCTCCAGATACTGTTAGGAGAGACGAAAGCGTTATCTCTGATCTCGCCAGGCACATACTCGAGGAGGAAGACTACCCTGTTATCGACTACGAGTCAGACCTTCAGACCGCCATGTCGACAACAGTTAGATAGGCTAGCCCACATATTGTACTTGTGTGATCCAGATGAATAAAGAGTAACAACGGCTTCGGCCAACAGGATGTAGGGTTATTACCTGATAATTCAGGGGCCCGAACCTGTATAAAAATCCCTGTCTCCATCTCTTTTATCTCAGTCTCGCGTAGACCCTAGTACCAACGATCCCCATACCATGCAAATACCGGAATCGCGACATCAAACGTCGACAAAGTTCATGCAGTTTTCGGTTGTGGGGATTATCAATCCAATGTAATCTACCATGTAGTGTTACAACCATTTCTTCTCATGCTATTACAACATTATATGTAGTCATTCAGATTATCTAAATTCACAATAGTGCACTCTCTGTTGATGTTTTACTACAGGGAAACATAATGTTCTAGTAAATTAATTAGATTGCTATCTTGGTTTCTCTTAAGCTCACCAACTGTTATAATGCATACCTAGTGAGTTACGTTGGTGATAACTGTCTTCCAATTAATTCCTAGGAGTTATCTATGGTATACCTTTGGAGATACCGAAATATTTGTAGAATCAATAAACAAAAGTCTAGCTTAGCAATACCTATTCGTACCGTACCTCTCAAAGATTACGAAAACACTTTTCTCCACGCGATAAGTACATTGCACAACACATTCACAATCAATCTAGTGAATTCTAGCTAAGATAAAAAAAACATATGAACTACGATGGGACACGAAAGACAAGCTCAAATGAAATGATAGTAAGTTTGTGGACCTCAAAGTTGCGCGCATGGCCACGCGGCCTAGACGACCGGTTTGGGTGGCAACCCGGAGGGGGGAACCCAGCGCCGCCTCCCGTCGGCAAATCAATGGCGGACATGGTCAACCGGATTGGGGATTGAGCGGGGTGTGAGAAGAGAGATGTCAAAGACCCAAAATACTCCCAATGGGCCGGAAGTAATAGCAAGTCAGCCCATTTATCTATAGCCCATCAAAGGTAAAAACATGATCAAATCAATCTAACTTGTATACCTCACCCATAATACCAGATATCATGAAACCGGTGCAAAATGACTATCTTAGACGGTTTTCACTGATATGGTGTCCACAAGACAGTCAGGAAAACAAAATGGATATGGGGCCTACTGGGATCTGTTACCCACTTTGCTTCAGCTTGTTTGTACTCCCTTACTTTGTCCATGTCATTCGAAGTACCTTGACTTTTTTAGAACAGGTCAGAGTCAAATAGTGATAATTCGAATCAATTCTTTTTCCATTACAATATTTCGGAAACCTAAGGATTTGATAGTATGGATATGGAAAATACAGGATTGACACATGCCAAGGCTAAGAACAAAGCAAGATGATTTTTTATGCTTAGGCATGGGATAGAACAAGCATATTTTATGATGGGATCTGTGTGCAGGTAACTCCACATAAAAAGTTATAGGGCCAAATCATCAGCACCCACATCTCCCCTTTCTTCTGGGTCCGTCAATGACAGCCATCACAGCGGTGCTTCCTAGCCTCAGGCTCCACCTCACCACCATAGCCACCATGCTTCGGCCTTGTCATATCGATAGCCGCCTCTTACCACCGCCCCTCTATCGGCTGGATGAGTGGATAGGGGAAGAGAGGAGGCACCGGTAGATCTAATGAAGTTCTCTCTAGCAACTCCTTAATCTATATCTATATCTATAATAATACTTAAAAAATCGTAATGATGGCGGCGACTCCAACCTGACAGACATGTGGAATATGGATCGTTTGATCATCAAATCCAACGGTTTCGATCAACGGGCAGACATGCGCTTCTCTCCATATCTGCACAATTAGCCTCCTTCGCATCCAGCGACGCCTCCCATAGTCCCATCACATCACAACTCCCATTTGTGCACATGTCTGCCGACTTCTCTCCCGTCCGCTCTCCAACATGCCTCCGCAATCCCCTTCGTCCTGATTTCGCCGGCAGCGACGTCTCCACCGCACTCTCAGTCCCTCGCAGCTCCTGTTCCCCCTTATCTCCATCTCCAATATCTCAATACCATCCCATATAATCATCAACTTTGTTGTATAAGACATGATTGACAGATTTGTTGATGTATCTCCACACACATACATACATGACGTGGATTAGAATTATTCCCAGCGTATAATTTCAAGTAATGAAAACAAACATTCAAAATTTCACTCAATAAAATTAAACAAATACAGCTGGCACGTCTTTTGAATACTAAAATTTCACATACATAACTATTATTGACTACATATCTTCATATCATATCTTACTATAAAATTAATATCCACTAACTTCTAAAGCTCAACATTCAAGTGTATCATATCATCACACCCACCAGCAAATATTTATCTAGAGTATTTTAAATATGATGCAAACATGACATATTATTTACATTTTTGTTGTATTTTTAGAACTCAATATGCAAGCAATGTCAAATCATTATCTTCGCATTATTTTTACATTATTTAAACATATACATATATCATTTTCTATAATGTATAAAATACATTCATCCATATATCTCGCAGCAAAGCGCGGGGTATCAACTAGTATATAAAACACGTAACAGGATGGTTAGAAATCACACAAATGTGTGACTTTATAAGCTAGTAGATATTGAAACCAGAGAAAACACAAAAACAGGATAGAAATCCATGCGAAAAGATTGAAAACGTTGAAAATTTAGAGGAACATGTGTTTGGATGACTTGGAAAAATACAGAAATGTGGGGAAATTATTTCCTTTGCTTTTTCCAGCGACCAGTACCATGTAAAGGCTACTACGTACAGTGACTGTGTCCATATGAATTTAAATCCTTCATTTATACTATTCATTTATCGTATGCTTTTCTTCTGTTCCAAAGGAGCTCATATTATTCTAGGAGAGAGAAAGAAAGATTGTGTATTGGGCTGTTCGAACGGATTCTAAACTATGAGGTTAGAACTCATGCTTATAATTCTCAAAAAAGAAGTGAAAGATAGGAAGGATTCGTATTTAATTTTTCCAACAAAGTAGGACAAACAAAAGGGCTACGTATAGAAAATAATACTATAGGGTGTAAATGGTTTAAAATAATAAAATCTTTTCTTCCAATCGAGATTTTTCTCCCCATCTATACTACTTAAAATATTAGTAGTGGTGGTATCCATTCACGCACCACCCCTATCGCTAACATCCGGATCTCACAATCTATACTACTACACCATATTTTAACAAGTCATCTCCTACTTCATTATTGGCTTCCCAAAATTCAAAATCATCTATTTGTTCAATAAAAAAAATCATAGTATTACTTAGACTAAATAAGTGCTTCTTAATTGATTTAATTAGCTAGAAACTTAATATATTTGTTTTCCGTTGCAACGCACGGGTTCTAGGCTAGTAATGAGAAAATCATTTACCATTGGCCAGTAAAATTCATGATGGGCAATTTTAAGGTTCAAGAAAAAAATATAGAGGTGCCTAAATTTTACGTTAAAATTTTTTATCTTGATATATTTATCAAATTTTTACACTAAAATACTAAAATATATGATACCTTCATGTATCTTTTGTATCTTTTTAAAATGATAAAATTACCCCATTCATGATAGCTCGAGGCAGACAGTAGAATTTGCATATGATCGATCAATAGATAGCACAGCAGTTGAGCAGTGTCGTTTGCAACTCTATCGATCGAGGAACCAGCCTGCCGGCCCAAAAGGAGACCGAAAAGGAAATTAAATCGTGATTTAATTGTGGCCAGTAAATCGCAGGAGAAAAACTGATCGATCTGAGCATGCATGCACATACGCACATATTTAATTTTTTTCAACAAAATAGTACAAACCAGATAGCTACATATAGAAAAATAATCCAATAGGATTTAAATGTATAAAATAATAAAATTTTGTTGTTCCAACCGAGATTTTCTTCCCTCATCATGAGAAAATGAAAATCATGCGAAGTGAGCGTAGGTGCTCATATTCACAGCTAATTATTCTTTCAATGATAAGTGATATACCTGTCGAGCAAGACATCCGTGGTGAATTCATCAATCCCAAAATATGTCGGTGTGCGCGTGTGTATAAGTTCATAGTATGTGTGTCTGCGTAATGGACACTTGCAATTGAACTTTGTTTCTAAGGAAAATGAAAATGAAAACCATCTACCATAGGCATATTGTGAACGCCTTCGATCGAGGCAGACAGAGTACCATTTGCATATGATCGATCGGCAGACAACAGTCGAGCCCTGTCGCTATAACTACTTACTTGATCTGATCGAGGTGCCCAAGCAGACCGAAAAGGAAATCGAACCGCGATTTAATTGCGGCCAGTAAAATCGGTGGGGAAAAACCGATCGATCTGAGCATGCACATATGCAGTGCTCCCTCCGCACTATTAAAATCAATTTCTAACTACGAAAATCAATTCGTGATCAAAAATTGATTTTTTTTTATGAAATCTCGTCCAGAATTGCATGTACTAGAAGTTGATTTAAATCGGAGTAAACCTATCGAGGGGTGCAGTCACACTGGATCGTCTGTGCAGCAGGGTTAAGGAGAGGAGGCGTCGGCGTCACGGCGGACAGCGATGGGGTGCGGTGTCGCCGTCGATCGATGGACGATGGTGGATGGATGGATGGTTGGCGCGGCCGACCCACCGTCCCACTCCCACATGCCAGCCAGCGAGTGCTACCGTCCAAAAAGGGAAAGCCAGTGGAGCCAATCAACGGCCGCGCCCGCGGATTGCGTTCCCCCGGGCAATGAGAAATGGAGAATCGCCCACGTTTGCCTTCTACTGTACGTCACTCCGTACTCCTCTCTTCCTGCCTGCCTACTCTCTCCTTGTTGTCCATGGCTCCATGCCTGTGCAGCAAGGCCATTCAACAGTGCGGTGAGTTGGATCGGTGCTCCACGGTGCCAGCTCAATAAAACGCAGACGTGGAGGGTGTCGCGGCGCCCCTGCAAAGCACCTCGCCCCCACGCAGAGCGCCGCACTTCCTCCTCTCGGCGAGTCCGCGCGCGCCGTCACGAGGTGAAGTTCCGCGCACTGAGGAGCGCGTGTCCTAGACGCGCGCATGCCCTCGCGGCGGACGGAAGGTGGAATCCCGGATTCGCCCTCCAAAATCGCCCTCCCGCCACAACTATTTGGTCGACGCTTGCCCTATTCCGTCGTTGCCACGCTCGATTTCTCCCTCGGATTCGTAGGTAGGTCTCTCTCCGGCCTCACCATCGCCACCCTGAAGTCCCAATCCATGGCGGCCTCTCCATCGCCTCCCATGCTTGCTGCATTCATTGTTCAAGAATCAAACAAATCCATTGCAAGCTCAAGAATTTGTAGCCCAAAACTACATTCACGCAATCATCAAGAAAATAATCTACAAACCAATCCGAACCGTACGCAAGAACTCCCCGTCAACTCCGGTCAATCCTTGGTTGACGAACTCGAGAACCAAGGAGAAAACAAGAAGCAAGAACCCCAGAAACCCAAGAACACACCCAGCGAAAAGTTCGCCCCTCCATGTGGATTCAAGAACCAAGAACCCCAAAAAGTAGCACCCGGCGACGGGGCGGCGGCGAGCTCGCTATCGCCTCGGGAGGAGGTGGGGGGGAGAGGGAGGCGGAGGCATGTGTCCCCTCCTGACGACCGGAGTTGACGGGAGACCGCGTCGCCACCCCCCGAAGCCCACCGCCGCGGACTTCATGTCTCCCACCGCCGCGCCAGCCGCTCCCCCCGGGGATGCCTCCCTCCGCCTCACCAGCCACCGCCACCGGGGACACATCCCACCGCCGTGCCAGCCACTGCCGCCTGGGACGCCTCCGGCTGCCGTGCCAGCCGCCGCCGCGAGGGGTTGGAGAGAGCGAAGCGGTCGAGGGCTAGGCATCCGCCTGCGCGCTGGGTTGGAGAGAAGGGTAGGTGAGAAATAAATTTTGCTCCGCTACCCGTGTCCAAAAGCATAGGGTCACGCCCACTGTGGGCTTCGTTTCCTTCATCAGTGTCTCCATCCAACTAAGCCACACATATATTGGTGCTTGCACTGTAGGGTGAGTGTCTTTGGGCTAATTTTTTGGGCTAGGGGTACGGGCCCCATAGCTTGCACGAATATTCATGGGGCACCTAACCTAGCTTTGACGTCTCTAAAATCTTCTTTTTTTTAAGGCAAAACGGTATGAGATTGCGTCTTTTCATTGAATATAGCATGAGAAAAATATAACCCTAGGGGTAAGAAAAGAAGAAAAGCTCTATACACTATACAGAGTAGGGCAAAAAAATCACGTAAGCGTTTTGCTCCTACCATCGCCCATGTCCGTGTAAAATCAAAGTGTGTTTGATTCTTATTCTGTGATGAACAATTGGCATATGAGATTATTGGTTTTGATATTTGGAGATTATTGGCGAGTGGTTTTGGAGATGATTGGATTTTCAGGTGATATACAGGTGCTGCTGTTTTGTCTGGTCCAGTCAGACCGATCAGGTGTTGCCGGTCAGACCGACGCTATGCGAGCGGTCAGACCGGCCAGCTCACAGTTTGACCGGCTGACTCTGTGTTGGTTTTGGTTTCGGGTTGTTTCATTGGATATCCGTGATTAATATGTGTTTATGGCTTCTAGATGGATACTATGCGTATGTAATACTGTTGTTTGCTAACAATGAGTCAAGTTGGAGATAGCTTAGTCTCGGAATATGATTTCTTTGTTTGATTTATGTGTAGGTGTCTTGATGCCTCAGGAGAGTATTGCCGGTGATGGATCGGGAGTCGACTTGGAGATAAGGCAACGTCCGGATGGTCAGATATCATGCGGGATATTCAGGCTAAAGATCAATGCACATGGTTGGTGAAGATTCCATATGACATACGATAGAGATATTGGGTGTGTATAGGATGTGAAGTCGAATTTGGAATGAGTCCAAATTTGGTACAATTTGAGTTTGTAAAGTTGGTTTCTTGTATAGGAAGGTTTCCTAGGTGGATTAGGACTTCTTGTATGAGTTTGGTTTGTGGCTTTAGGCTGCCTACCTCATGTATAAATAGAGAGGGAGGGTGAGGCCTCCCAGTATCGCTTTTGAGAGCATAGAGTTGAGAGTTGAGTTAGGGTTTCGAGTGTAGTCGAAATTTTCGTGAGGAGTGCTGTTGTTGCACTTTGTAAACACAGAGAGAAGTAATAAAGTTGTCATCTACATCAAGAGTTCTTCGATTTGTGTTTGCTCGGGTTCAGCGGTCTAACTGGCGAGACATCGGCGGTCAGACCGGCGGCACTGCGGCGGTCAGATCGGCGGGTCAGCGGTGGTCAGACCGGCGGGTCAGCGGTGGTCAGACCGGCGACAGCGACAGGAGGCAGAGGCGATTCCAGGGCAGTCAGACCGGGCTACCGACGGCACAGGCGCGGTCAGACCGGCGGATCAACCTCAGTCAGACCGATCTACATCGATTTGAGGATAACTTTTAATTCCGCTAAAAGTTTGGGTTTTTGGGTACACCAATCATTCACCCCCCCTCTGGTTGGCTTAGTTCTTTTTATTCGATCCTACAGTCCGCACTCCATCCTTGATTTTGGTGAAAAGGAATAATGACGTGGTCTCATTATGCTCAAAGATTCATTGGTTCCTCTCCTTCTAGATCTCCCAGACGACAAGGAGAATGAGGGTGCACAATCCCTTTTTAGAACTCCTACCATGATTGCTAGAGCCTCCCACCAATCTTTTGTCGCCTGTGTCGCCTCCCATTGTCCAGGATCAAGCTATTGGTAAGCCACCCAGGCAGCTACTAGGTTTCAAATTCTTTTCGTGTATCTGCAGCTGACAACGAGATGTATAACTGTTTCGCCTTCTCTACAGTAGATGGGGCAGATCCCATTATTTTGTCATGCTCTAGTCGCCAACTGGTCGGAGATCCAGACCCTATTTTGGATGACTGGCTATACGTGGAATTTGCATTTTTCCTGGCACCCAAACTTTCCAAATGAGCGAATCGAAGACCGTGTTTGATGCCCCAAGGCACTTTGCCTGGTAAGCCCACCATGTTGGTGTCTTTGAAGTCTGAAATATAAGGGACTCATTTTTTTCGTTTATGCTTATACTTATCAGTCAAAATTTCAATTTTCAACTTTAAATTTGGAGTTGATTTTGAGATTTTTGGCATCGAAATTTATTTTTCAGCCTTTACTTTTAGATCGCTAAGAACATGTATACAAAAGTTATATTCATAAATTACTTTTCATTTGTAAATATGCTGTTTGGTTTATTTCACGAATAAGCGAAACAGTGAGGCTGTAAGCTTATCTGAATCTTATAGTGTGCACTTTGCAGTGTTCTTAGGCCTTTTAGCTTGTTCCATCCATGCTGTCTGGAAGATCGTGCATTCATTTCTTCAGTGTACAACTGCCATGATATTCGATCCCCATCTCTGTTTCTGATCCTGATCTTGTCTTCTTGCTTCCTTTGGTACTTGCCTCGCATTCCTCACACAAGGAGCACGAAATATATATACAGGTCAGAAAGCATTCCGAAAGATCGCAAGATACAGTTAATTAAGAAAGCATTCCATAAGCAATCCGCACAGGAGAGATTAGCCACTCATAACAGAATAACCTACTGACCCATATTTTCTGTAAAATGTTCAGAGCATGTAACTGAACCTAAAAAGGAAGCACCATTGCAGCAAGAGAAACACTTGTAACAAATATCTATAATCCACTACTACGATTGTGTCACATTTGTCCAGACACACCATCCTAAGGAGTGTCCAAATCACTGAAATTTCACCATTTCTCAAGTATCTGAAGCCAGTGGACACTGCTGCAGCTAGCTAAGTAGAGAATGAGAGAATACGGGACGAAGGTGACGCTATCGCCGTATCGGCTGCAAAATCATGTCACCTCACGGATGATCCCAAAGGGGCTAGTAGTCCGCAGCTTGCAATCGTTGGCTTCAGATTTAATCATTTGATTCCTCTTCTTTATTTTTTTTCCTTCCTTTTTTTTTCCTCTTTCTCGTGTGTCCATTGCCCATGACAAGGATGGTAGATTGGAACCTTGCGTCCCTATCCTTATCAAAGTAACTTTTGTGATGCTGCTGCTGGTTTTGTAAATTATTTTCTTCCTCGAAGTTTTGATTTTTGTTTCTCTTCTGCAGAGTAAATTTCGAGGTGTTTTTGTGGTACGTTGTTGATGCCTGGCGCTGTCTCTGCGTCGAACCGATTTTGCCATCGGTTGTTCCACTCGTACGTCCATTTCACAATGTTTCACTGTGCATGTCTCTCTCACCGGTGTACGCCTACGGAGTAGTAAGAAGTTACTACAGTACAACATTTGTGTTAGCTATTTCATAATGTTGGTGACGTTTTTAAAAGATCTGCTACAAGAACTAAATTTTTATTACTAAGCTCTTGGTATTAACAATGATGTTAACCATTTAGTTTAAGGTTCTCATATGGTTGATTATAAGTCATAATAATAATATTTTTACCGACCGGTACCATTTTCAAAATTTAGTTTTTCGGATTACTGTCAGAGCCTGTTCACTTTGATGCCAAAAAAAACCTTACCAAATTTTGGCATAGCCAAAGTAGTTACCAAAATTTTGGTAACTTACCAAAATTTTGGCAGGATTTCTTTTATAGTTACCAAAATTTGGCAGGAAACTAAGGGCCATTTTGGTTTGGTGCCAATTCTTGCCCTACCAATTCTTTGTTAGTTTTGAATAGTGCATGTTAGCATTTTGGATTGGAACCAATTTTTGCCAAATCAATAGAGTGGAGCCAAATCTATACTATCAAAAATTTGGTAGTACCAAAATTTGCCCAAGGTTTGGTACTACCAATATTTTGGTAGGGTTTCAAACCAAACATACCCTAAATGTAGCCACTTTTTTAGCAATTTTACCAAAACTTGATAAGGTTGAAAATGGCATCAAAGTGAACAGGCCCTCAGTGTCATTGAAGTTGACACTAAATAGTTCAATTCATAAATATGAAAAATTTCCTATTGTTTCTACTTGTTTCAAAAAAATAATAAAATAATAATATCGTTTCCGATCATTTCCGACCGTTTTCATCCTGACCTAAACATGCCGATTGAAGCTTTGGAAGCCGTCCATGCTGATTAGAATGGGTGCTCTTCCGCTACTTGTTCCGGATAATATCCCTCTCATGTCCTCTTTCAATTATATAATATGTTACTTTTGATCACAATTTTTTATACATTGCGTACTTAAAAAAATATAATATGAATACTAAAACTTACAATATAATTCAATGTATAATTACAATGTAAGTATAAGTAATTTATGGTGTAAAAACTATCTGATTATTTTTTATAAGTAGTAAATATGACGTCGATTCCTGACTAAAAATCTTTAAAAAAAACTAAAATATAATTATTCTAGCTACGAACCAGAGCATTTTATATCTTCAAATGGAGTTGTTTCGTAACACCTCAAAAACTATAAATTTCAAATGTTGACATTTTTTTTGGACATTTCGAGACATTTTTTTTTCAATTAATATCGCATCTGCTTTTGTAGTTTCACTAGCGCATTGACGAATTGGTTAATCAAGTCACCTCTTGATCACAGTAAGATGTGTCACTTCCCAGGTTGGGACCTCGTTCACGCACGAAAAATAGCGCCTAAATTACCAAGTCAACTTTTTTAAAAAAAAATTGTCCAAATATTTTAAAAATTAGAAGTACCATTCCCTGTGCAGCAAAACCGAGGAGGTAGAGAGAAAAACAAAATGATGGCCTCAAAATTTACAGGATTACGACTAAATCCAGCCGCAAAACCAATACTAACCACCAGTACATATATCGTTTCGTTTGCGCCCTACCACTCTTGTGGATAAGGCTCCCTCCCGCCATTCTTAATTACTATACTTATCGTACGCCGCCGCCGTCGCCGGCCGCCGCACGTCTCACCGCCGCGCGCCGGCCCAGGGAGGAGGAGGCGAGAGTGCGAGATCCACCACCCGATGACCTCCCAGGCGGCGACGACGACGACCACGGCGGCGGCGGCGGCGGCGTGGACCAGGGAGGACGACAAGGCGTTCGAGAACGCGCTCGCGGCGTGCGCGGCGCCGCCGCCCGCGGACGGAGGCGCGCCCGACGACGACTGGTTCGCCGCGCTCGCCGCGAGCGTGCCCGGGGCGAGGTCGGCGGAGGAGGTGCGGAGGCACTACGAGGCGCTGGTGGAGGACGTCGCGGCCATCGACGCGGGCCGCGTCCCGCTCCCGCGCTACGCCGGGGAGGAGTCCGCGGCGCCGCCCGACGGAGCCGGAGCCGCCGCCGCCGCGTCCAAGGACGGCGGACACCGGCGCGACGAGCGCAAGGGCGGCGGCGGCGGGTACGACGGCGGCAAGAGCTGCTCCAAGGCGGAGCAGGAGAGGCGCAAGGGCATCCCATGGACGGAGGAAGAGCACAGGTACGCGCGATTCCGGAAATCAAGACGAGCAGCTGTTGTTGTTCGTCTTCTTCCTCGGAACAGCTCGATTGCGAATCCATGGCGGCGACGTGACTCGATTGCGATTGGATTGTGCGCGCAGGCTGTTCTTGCTGGGGCTGGACAAGTTCGGCAAGGGGGACTGGCGGAGCATCTCGCGCAACTTCGTCATCTCGCGGACGCCAACGCAGGTGGCGAGCCACGCGCAGAAGTACTTCATCCGCCTCAACTCCATGAACCGCGACCGCCGCCGCTCCAGCATCCACGACATCACCAGCGTCACCGCCGGCGATCAGGTCGCCGCGCAGCAGGGCGCCCCGATCACCGGCCACCAGGCCACGGGCAACCCCGCGGCGGCGGCGCTGGGCCCGCCGGGCATGAAGCACCACCACCACCACCACCCGGGCGGCGCGCCGCCGCCCATGCCCATGTACAGCGCCGCGCCCATGGGCCACCCCGTCGCCGGCCACATGGTGCCCGCCGCCGTCGGCACGCCGGTGGTGTTCCCGCCGGGCCACGCGCCGTACGTCGTGCCCGTCGGCTACCCGGCGCCACCGGCCAAGATGCACCAATGACGCGCCATGGACGGACATGAGCAGCATTTCTTCCTCCTCCTTTCTTGATGTGAATCTTGATTTGTTCTTTGTGTAGTCGCCGGCTCATCGTCCCTGATCATCTTGTTCTTCTCACAATCTCACTAATGTAAACATACATAGATCAGATGCCAAGAGTGCAGGGATTGGGGATTAAAGGCGAATAAGTAAAGTATTTTGCTGACTGTTTGCAAGTGATCATCACGTACACCCGGTGAAAGCTTAGCTCCAAATGTGGATGTAATTAGCAGCGGCCTTCCGTACGTGGTGGCGCCGATCGATGATCTTGCAGGGGTTGCAATTAGGGATTGATTTCCATTTTGCTGATGTAAATTTGCCTACTGTCTCATTGGACCAAAACATATCTCTCTCTCTCTCTCTCTCTCTCTCTCTCTCTGCCATATATATATCAGTGTTGATGAATGGATTGGTGTTTTCCTCATGTTCATCCTCTCCTCTTCTATCATTGGATTAACGTTTTGTGTTCTGGAGCATCTCATACTTTCAGAGAGGCGACGTGGGTTCAATCTAAATTGTAATATTATGTATTCTCGTGTTTCCATTTAAATTCCTTTGTGTCTCATTTTGGAGCTGATGACATTACAGTGTGTGCTTGCTTGCTTCTTGAGTATATGTTTCAAGCTTCAGTTTTTCAAAGAACTGAAATGAGGAGGCTCCCAATGCAGACATTGGGTGGTGCATAAGGACGAACCAGAGGCGTTCCAAATGGTCTGAAACTCTAGAATACCAGGTGATCCCTCGCGTTTTGATGCAGGATTTATAAATGAGTATATGTTAAATATTGTAAAAATAGTGTGAGAAAGATAATTTGATATATTTGTTTGTTCATCTTTATATAATATTATATAATGTGTCATATTTGTATGGGATTTAAAAGGGTTTAGAATAGTAATTGCTAGTGGGTGGTGATATGATATATTTGCATGTTGAGTTTTAGCTTCTAATAATTATTAGTGGGTACCAACTAAATATAAAGTATAGATTGGAGAAGCATTTCATCTGAGCCTCCAGGTATTACAAAAGAATAGGAATTGGAGAAGGTCTCCATTTTACAGAATTCTGCATACGGCATGGGCTGGATTTTTAATAACCTGCACCACTAAAACTTCAACTTTCACTGTCGAACCTTCAAAATGGTTGAAAAAGACCCCTTTTCCCTGAAACCGCCATGGTGTTTGCTCAAATGCTGACCTGGCCTTTTCTTTTTCCTGGCTGCACTTAAAATAGCATGCATGCTAACGATTTTTTTTAAAACATAGGGAGGTCACTAATTAGGATTGACTGAAATGCTATGTCAAGTTTTAGACGGTCTTGGAGTAGTTGCAAGTTAAAAATCGAACTTCGTGATAGTTTGAGGTTGGAAACAAACTTCTTTTTTCCATTAAATTCAACGTGACATGTTGGGAAATGTAGGACTTGTTCCCTTTATAGCTATTTTCAGCATTTCCAAAATTTGGGATTGCCAAAATTTTGGTAAGTTCGTAACATTACCAAGTTTTAATAGGATAGGCTAACTATGATGTTATCAATTCTCTAGGCATGACAAATATTTAATAACAAACTAAATGTTAACATTTATCAATTTTATCAAACAATATTATGGTTTAAAATGACTGAATACGCCTGTAGCCTCTTTTGAGGTGAAGTTGCTTATTTGTTTAGTGGAAGCCTTCAAGCTCCCCCAATATAATGAAGACACGTGTAGAACTGGTCATCCATGTTCAAGGATGTTATGCCTATTGTCGGTGATAAGTGTCCCCGAAGGATGTCGTCGCTATCTATCTCGTGAATGCCGAGCTATATATTTGCTCCATCTGTCCCATAAAAACTAACTTAGTATCGGATATGATATATCTCAGTGCTATGAATCAAGTCAAACCTCAGTCCAGGTTTATAGTAAGGGCACCTTTGAATCACAGGAATAAAAAAAGGAGGAATATGAAAACCATAGAATTCTGATATGAATACAAGTGTGAAACAGAGAAATACAAAACATAAGAAAAATATAGGGATGACCGTTTGATTGGGTCGCAGAAAAAAACTTAGAAATTTGAGTAGAGATAAAGACTCAAAAGATTCTTTCCATGAGATTCTACCTCATGTTAAATTTTCTTCAAAACTTACAAAGAAAGAGACATTCCATAGGAATTTCATAGGATTCCATAGGATTCATTCCTTTGATTAGGACCACTTTGAATCGCAGGATTGAAAAAACGGAGGAATAGGAAAAACATAGGATTCAAACAGGAATGCAAGTGTAAAACATAGGAAAAACACATGAATGACCGTTTGATTGGATCGCAGAAAAAACACAGGAATCGGATGAAAGAGATAGACTCAGAGGAAATTTTTCATAGGAAAGCTTCATATCCCTATGTTTTCTCCAAAATCTATATGCAATGAGCCATTCCATAAAAATTTCATAGGATTTGGAAAGTTTTAATCCTTTGAATCAAATAGCCACATAGGAAAATTTTCTATAGGATCCTAATCCTATAAATTCCTATATAAAATCCTTTGATTTAAAGGGGATATGATTTTTTTCTTATATGGGCCCCTTTGAATCAAAGGGGGTCGAATGTATCTTATACTAGGTTAATTTTTTATGGGACGGTTAATTTTTTATGGGACGGAGGGAGTACGAAAGCTTCATATTCCTTATATATAGGTTCCACAAGCATCAAGTACAATTTTGTAAGGTTCTATATTTTATAAGTAGAATTAGAATTGATATAGGAGTACAATTATATCTTGTACATGAGTAACTTTATGAGATCTCCGAGGAGATACCAAAACACACCATGGCTTTTAGTATTAATTTATGAAACCAATTAGTAGCAGCTTAACACTAAAAAAGGTACCAACAGGTCCTAAAAAATTAAGTGGTATATCTCAGTAATTTCTCAAACTTCTTATTTTCTTTAACCTTTTTGTTTTAATTTTAGAAATAAACTCTCCTAAAACTTATTTCTGAATCTGAATCTTTTAGGCACACCAATCATACTGGCGCAACAAAACAAACATGAACCCATAAAAGATGAGTACCATGAAACAGTAATATACGCAATTCCGTTTGGTGATTAGTGAAAGAGATCGTGAAGACATCTGTCAGTTGGGAAAATGCCTACTTGATTCCCCTCCCGAACTAGTAAATGCAAAAAAAAAAAGAAAAATTGCCATTATCGTTGAAATCACATACAGTTAGAAAATATGCATGATTCAATGCATGGTTAAACAGGATCAGGATCATGAAGTCTACGGTAGCCAGCCGCCACAAGAGCCGGCTATCGCGCCGCAACGAGATCCCACACACCCCTGACGGCCGCAATGAGTAACCCTAGGTTCTTGCCAGGGTCACTCGTCGTGTGATCACCAGTACCTTAGGTGGCTCACACTTCATCGGCGTCGTCGTGGGATCACGTCGCTGGCTTGCTCCTCACTGTGCGTTCAAGGAGACGAGATGAGCATCGCTCGATGGGTCATTGCAGAGAGCTTGACGTACGGGTTTACTGACACGATAAGATAGTGCTGTCACCAACATCATTGTGGAGCTAGTGGTTGCCGTCACCAGATTTGAGGGAGAAACTATTACAGTATTGGGGGGAGGGGGAGAGGGACCCTCTATTTCTCTGCCCTCTTTTCTATCTGATACGGGGGATGGCCTGACCTTCTCGACGTGGGGATCTAAAACACCAAGCAGCTGACGAAATGGATGAACAACACGCAAACAACATAGCACACGTTTCATCTGGCCATCACAAAACCACAAGATGCGGAAGATAACTATGGAACCCTCAATCCCAGTGGAAAGCAAGCACAATCTTAATGGGATCACCCTATTCCTCTCTATGTGGTTGTGCCAAATCATAGGAAGAACGGGTAGCGAGACACTCACCTGGTTGTAGCTACTACTTATATATAGCAATCCTAAGATCTCTAAACAAGAAACAAACTTGTTACATGACTTGGATATATATGAAGAAAGAAACTTTTGCTACAACAACCGTCGGCTAGTTTGGTAGATTGTGGATAAACCACGAAGAATTTGAGGGTGGGACCAAAACCTTGATGTGGACCATTAAATTAGCTTTCCAACAAGTACTCAAACGTTCAGAATGGAGTATGTATGCGAGGACTGTACAGGATGTCCAACCCAAATCCGAACTGAATAAAACCTCCTTATCTTTAAATTTCTCATTTGTAAATAATTCAATCCGTGTAGATGAGATAATTGCTGACTTATGAAGAGTCTTGGAATAGATGTAAACCATCCAATCATACCGTAGAACCCACAAACTTTGCAAACATAGCAATTTTTGTGCGTCATTTTTACGGTATGTGTAACCTTCAGTAAAACGGCCACTACTTTTGATTGGAACAATTCAAATCATGTACTGCTTGATCCGTTGAACAAATTTGATAACCTTTCTAAATATGATATTTTAATATCTTGAATTCCTCTGTTTTGATGCGCAAATCTTCAGACAATTAACAGCCAGTGACACCATATCCTCATCACTATCTCTCATTCAGATGCAATTCCCAATTTCAAATAGTTGTGTAGAGGAGGCGTGGGCTTTGGATTCAGTCTCCTTGATGATGCCAGCCAACGACATCGGTGCATGGATGGCCAACAATGGCGCGCGTGAGATTGGACGATCAAAAGACACGTCGCTGGGTAAAGCCAACGTGTATGCATTCCTTAGATTTTGCATAATTTTTATGATATTGCTAATTACCTGTAAAAAATGAGCGAATCCAAAATAGATCATTTATGGATAAAATTGTTACATTTATGTCACTAACTGTTTATAAAAACCAAAAAAGTAACGCAGACTACGATAAAAAAAAACACCTCAAATTCTTCCCAAAATTCAAACCTTTGTGTGCAACTAATATTCCCATTCCTAATGGACCCTCCGAGTCTCCGACCATTGGGCTTTATGGTCCATCATACACCATCACGTAAACTCTTTGGACTTTGCAAAAAGAAGAAGGAATTAAGTAACAGGCCAGGCAAAGGCCCATTTCCACAGTCCACAGCCCAAATCCTATCGCACCAACTGACGTGTCACGTAATAAAATAGCAAATTTTGCTACAGTACACTGCTTATGTGTGGTTTTAACTCCAGGGCACTATCCAAACTCACTTTTGGGGGAAAACACTCCATAAACATGGTAATTTGCCAGTGGACGCTGCGCCGATTAAAATAATACTTTCCGGTTGAAGAGGAGAGAGAAATTGCATGAAATGTCAAAAATGCCCTTAGGCCCACATGTCAGCTCTATCTCATATCTCTCTTCTCATCTCTCTCTATCCTCTCTCTCAGAGGCGCACGTGCGGCGTCGGTCGCGGCAGAGATGGCGAGGACGGCGGCCGGTAGAGTAGAGCAAGGTGGCAGCGGCGGCGACGGAGCGGAGCTGGCGGCCGAAGCTGGCGGTCGAGCGCGCGGTGGCCGGCGGAGTGGAACGGGGAGGCGACGGCGGTGGACGAGCACGCGGCCGGCTGAGCGGCAGCGTTGGCCGAGCGGAGTGGCAACGGCGGCGAGTGAGTGGCCGCCATTGCCGGCGCGGTGGCCGGGCGCGTCTTTTGCATGATGGCGTTCCACATGGCATCCAAGTCATCGTCGTCCCTGCCACTGTCGAGGGCGGTTTCTGCCACGCCCGGGAGCGGCAGCGAGAACTTCTGCTCGAGAACGGAGTGTTTCTGCGGCGGCGGTGCAAGGCTCTGCCTCGCGTCGGAGGTGTACGATGCGGCGGTGGACGCGTCCTCGTCGGACTCCGTGGTCACGCAGGACTCGCCGCCGTACACTGCCGCCGCGGTGTTGAACTCCTCCTTGGGCTTGACAACCAGCGACGGCGCATCCTCCGCCGCGGCGGGGAGGACCGCCGCCATCGGAACAGCCGGATGCAAGTGCGGGCATGGATCCTTGAGCTGCTGCTGCTGCGCTTGGAAGTGCTTGTGGTCGGAAAGCTTCTAGATGACGAGGATGATGAGGTGCATGGTGACGAACAGGTACGGCGGCACGAGCCACACCGCTCCACTCCGCCGCTGCCCTGCTCCACTCCGTCGGCCGCCGTCCTCGCCATCTCCGCCGCGACCGACTTCGCCTGTGCGCCTCTGAGAGAGAGTATAGAGAGAGATGAGAAGAGAGATAGGAGACAGAGCTGATATGTGGGCCCAAGGGTATTTTTGACATTTCGCGCGATTTCTCTCTCCTCTTCAACCGGAAAGTACTATTTTAATCGGCGCAGTGTCCACTAGCAAATTACCACGTTTATGGAGCGTTTTCCTCCAAAAATGAGTTTGGGCAGTGTCCTAGGTTAAAAACACACATAAGCAGTGTCCTGTAGCAAAACTAAACACCCTCCCAAAAAGTGTCAGGGGGTGTAGATTTGTAAAACTTAAAAAAAGTATTTTTGTAATTTTTCTAATGAATCTTCATCTCTTCTCTATCTGTACTATTATAAAAAATTAAAAATGTTTTTCGGGTATTTTGATACGTCATCCGTGTATAAGTAGATTTTTAAGTTCGTTCGCTTTTAAAAATACATATCCGTATTTGAGTTAATTTTTAAGTTTATTCGCTTTTAGAAATATGGAAGGAGTTGTATAAGAAATCCCTTTAAAAAAAACTCGTATTCTGATTTAGGATGATCGACAACGTCCCCACCCTAGCATTTTTTCCAGTAAAATGAAAAATTAAAAAAAAAATCCAAATTTGCTTGCTCCTTTGCCAGCCGAGAAGAAGAGTTGGGTTTGTTCGAGAAAGCACTCGCGACTTCCAAACAATCCTATCGCCGCGACACACCACACTGTTCCTCTCGCTCGCTCGCTCGACGCCCGCCATGCTTCCGCCTCTCGCCGCCGCGCCGCCGCCTGCGCAGCACGTCGCTCCCGCGTTCCCCAACCTCCCACGGAGCCGCCGCCGCCACCTCCTCGGCCTCCAGCTCCTTCTCCGCCGCCACCGCCCCGTCAGCGTCGGCCACCACCACCACCACCACCACCGCCGCCGCCGCCGCCTCCTCCTCGCCGGCGCGTACGCGCCCGGCGATGGGGGCGCAGGACAGGTGAGGTCGCTTCCCCTCCCCCCTCGTTGGATGGATACACCACCCTCGGCTCGAGGCCCTGGTGCTTCGGGCCTACTCGCCACCCTCCACGCTGATATTTGCTTTGAGCCTTTGATGTCAGAAATGTTCCGTGTCTGCTCGCTTGATTTTGATTGTGCAGTAGAACATGCACACTTCGCATGTGGGAAATGATTGGTTAGTTGTGATGGCACGGCTCAGTCCTCAGCCTTCACCTTGTTGACTGGCTGTGCTGTTGGTTGAACCAGCCATTGAAATTTTTGCTTATTTGATTCGCGTTCCACACAACATCAGCTCATTGCTCACATAAGCGACATAAATACTGCTTTATGACTGGTTTGATTGAGCTACAAATGGTGGTCTTCAACAGCAATGTTCACAACGTGTAGGCTCAAATGCTAACTAATTAGGAAATTAAACCCACGTGCTCTCTGTTGTCTTGCCAGCCATGTATGTATTCTCCAGTACTTCCACAGCATATACTTTTAACTGTTCTTGATGTATGTTATGTTTTCGGCACATTAAGGGAAACTTTATTTACGTGTCACTCTGTTCCGGAACTTTGACTACATTGCTTTGTTTTGTTAGGATGTTGATAGTTCGGAGAGCACCTCTAGTACAGGATCTGCATATATTGGCCTCTTTGTTCGAATGCTAGGCTTGGACAATGATCCTCGTGATAGAGAGCACGCTGTTTACACAATTTGGCAATACTCCCTTGGCGGACGGAAGTGCATTGATGAGATTATGCAGTTCCATGGCTGTGTCGCCCTCATCGTCAGCCTCCTAAGATCAGATTCTGTCCGTGCCTGTGAAGCAGCTGCAGGTCTTTTGCGTAATATAACTTCAGTGAAGTTATACAGGGATGTGGCCATCGAGAGTGGCGCCATGGAGGAAATTTTTAGCCTTCTCTGTAAATCTACGATAACCCCAGAGGTAATTGCAAACATAATCAGCAGCGATCCATGTTCTTCCCCTTCCATGGTTCTGCAAAAGGACCTTTGACTGTTACCGTGACCGTAAATGGCATATTTTATGGATAACCAGATGAGATATTCTCTCTTGTAGGAAGAATGTTGACTTTCCTGATTCTTATCCAAACATGCTATTCTCTTGCAGATGTTGGAGCAGTCTTTGTGTACCATTTGGAACTTTTCTATTGAGGAAAATTTGAGATACAAGATTTTGTCAAGTGGTATGCTAACACGGATGGTTAGATTTCTAGATGACGAAGACATTAAAGTCAAAGAGGCTGCTGCAGGTATCATATCAAATTTAGCTTTAAGTCATTCAAATCATGGAGCTTTGGTTGAAGCAGGTGTTATTCCAAAATTGGTAAGTGGTAGTATCTTTTTTCGTCCCTATTGAACTTACTAGTCTTGGTCTGCTTGTATCGAGTTGACTTTGGCAGCTACAAAAACTATGTAGATTTCTTTAAAAAAAATATTATGGACTTATTTTTATTTCTGAATTCTGACTGGTTGAATGCTTTTGGCATTAGTTTATTGCTTTTTAACAGATAGGTCCTCAATTAATTTAGTATCAGATTTTGCTAACTATATGCAACCAACCACAAATATATGTATTAAGTTAGCCAAGGTAAGGATGGTTACCCTTGAGCGAAACGTATGTAAGCCAGGCTCTATCAATTGAGGATTTAATAAGTTAATGCTCTATGGCAATTCAGCGATACTACCTCCGTTCTTGAATAACTGTCAGTGTTGTCCACAGCCTGCTCACTTTGACCATAAATTACTTCTAAATGATTATATTATGTTGAGAGAAAGTTGCATGTTTATATTTAGGACACCACATACTTATCTAATATAACATGTTTTCAAGTATTTAGATTTTTTTTGCAAAAAGACAAGCGGTTAAAGTTTATAAACTTGAATAGTGCCACTGTCAATTATTCTAGAACCTATGAACTTGTGGTCATCAGTTAACTGAAGAAAGTTTGGTAATTTTCTAAGTTGTAATATGTGTAGTGTCAACTGTGCTATTGTGTATTCTTAAGTAACTGCTACAGTGCTCCCTGAACCTTTAGTGCACTTGTATCTTTAGATCGTCTGTTCGCAATATCAACATAACATAACCTTTTTCCTCTGCCCAGAGTTAAAGTAAGTTGAAATAAGTATTGGTTCTGTGATAATTTATCTCAACTGACAGTGTTGTTTGAACTTGCAAGCTTATCATGCATCCAGGAAACCATTGTTTTGTATCTTCTGTTATTTTCATGTTTTCCCCAGTGCTTAAAACTATATTTTTTGGGGGCATTTGAATGGTTCTGGTGCATGTGGAATCTTAGAATACATTTCTTTCTTTGTCGGCATGCCTTTCCATTATCCGAATAGGCAATCACCAGTTACATTGTTCCTTTTGTATAGTTCTCGTTTGCTATGGTTAAAATTTCAACTTACTGGTATGTTTTTATTTTCCTTTATAATAAACTGTATGGGGTAGTCACAACATTTGCTAACTCTTGAATTGATTGCTTCTTCAAAGGTCATATCTGGAAGTCATTGCCAATTGCAAACAGGATATTTCACAATTTAATTGTGAATTTATCTGTTTAATATACAGATGTCCAGTCTCTTACCTTTCATTCTACACAATTTCTTTGTTCCTTTTTCTTTCTTCCTCTTCAAGAGCGACTGTCATTAGCCAGTAATAAATACGTGCAATTTACTGTACAAGTGTATATGCTCACGTGGCATATTTTTTAATAATCTACCTTGGACCTTTCATCACATTAATAATTGAAACGTTAATATAGATAAAATAGAATGCTTAGGACCTAGAAAATTTTATCCTTGACTTGTGAGGGTAACCTCACCATGCAAGAAAGAGGTGAACATATTCCGTCTCTTGCAACCAACCAAACAAAGGAGCAACAATCAACCATGCATTTCATACAACCAACCAAACAACACCTCATCCCATCCAGGCTAAACTCATGCAGGCATACAGCATCAGAAGGGTCTGAATATGCTGGTAACTCTAGTAGCATGGGAGCTGTGGAAACACCGCCATGAGTGTGTTTTCAATGGTGCTGCTCTAAGTGAAACATGGACAGTCAAAAGAGGTGGGAGCCCTGTGTTGTGCAGCTGTGGCTCATGACCTCTAGAGCCTCCGTTCTAGTTCTTTGGTCGGTTTCTAGTCCTTCTGTGGCGCGTACGTACTTCTTGTGTTAGGAAGGTGTGGTGGTGTGTTGTGTGTGTGTGTGTGTGTATGTAGTATTGCGCTTTTCGGTGTACTCTCTTCTCCATGAAATGATACGCAGATCATCTCCTGTGTATTAAAGACAAAAAACTCATACAAGCAACCAAACAGAGCTATTTGCATCATATCCCTCTCTGGGCGAGCCCAATCTAGGGTGACTCATGCGAGCCTGCCTAGGGGCATACAAAGGGGCAGAGGCAAGCCTATGGCAGCTAGGGCTTGAGCGCTAGGCTTGCCTCCCTAATCTTGTTTAAATTCTCTTATTTTACCATTTAAAATTGGAAGAAAACCTATAGCCCACTAGTTGAGCCCTAGGTGAGCCTTAGGCTTCGATAATTTCTGGCTCCGCATACATGCAACCAAACAAGCGCTACTTATATCAATCTATTGAAACTCCTACATATATATAACTATCTCTTCTCTTTCTTTCTTTTTTTCTTTTTTTCTTTTTTTTTTTGCGTAGAAAGGAAATAAGGAATCGTTGGACTGGAACTTGCTAGGCAAGGATATATTGCTAATATTTTATGATGAAGTACCTTTACAGTTGTATGATCAAAATAACTCTATGCAGTTCCTACCCTTTGTCTAAAATTTCAATCTCTGATTGTATCATTCGGCTGAAACTCCTTCACTACAATCTTCTTGGTTGTTTATAGGTTCAACTTTTGCAAAACAAAGAGGACGACTATAAGATTATCAGAAAGGAAGCTAAAAGTTCACTCTTGGCACTATCCACTGATGAATATTATCATACTCTTATAATAGAGGAGGGTTTAGTCCGGGTTCCTCTAGTTGGCTCAGCTGTGTATAAAGCATTTAGACCTCTTCCACACTCATGGCCCTCTTTCCCTGATGGCTCTGAGATCCAGCGGAGTTCTCGCCCTTCAAAATATGGTGCTACTGAGTTGCTTCTTGGCCTGAGTGTTGGCGAGAAGGAAACGGAGCCTGATGAAGCAAAAGTTAATGCTATGATAGGCCGTTCAAATCAGCAGTTTCTTGCGCGCATTAGTGCTATTGAGTTGGATGATGAAGGAAATGAACAATCTGGTGGATCTCAAAGGAATGATCTCTATACCATTTTACCATGGGTAGATGGAGTTGCACGATTAGTTTTAATCATTGGTCTTGAAGATGCTTCTGCAATTGCAAAGGCTGCTAAAGCAATTGGTGATGCGTCGAAAAATGAACATATGCGCTCCTCATTCAAGGAAGCTGGAGCTGTCAAACCTCTACTTCAGTTACTGAATCATACTGATGTGCCTGTTAGAAAAGCCGCTGTTTATGCATTGGAAAAACTAAGTGTCAGGTATATTATTTCCCTTTCTTCAAACTCAAGCGTTTTTTAGCAATTAGATCACACAGTATTCTGTAGAACAGTCTTACATATTAATCCCATTACTTATTTGCTTTACTTTTAGTTGCTTAGGTGTAGCTGTTATGAGTGTTATGACTTAAAAGAATGGGATTTGAAAACCAGCCCGACCACTTGATGATCATATACCCTGTCGAAAGGGGGAAAAAGGAAATAATCATGCCAAATGCTTGGAAGGGGCTGTATGGGCTCAATGTGCTTCATTTTGACAACAATTTCCATTGACATGACAGTTGGCAACAATAGTTTGTGTCTTATCTTTTTGTAGGAGCATCTTATGTCTTAGGAATAGCTATATAGTTCAAAGCATCTCTAAACAGAAGTTGGTAGGACCTATCACTATAAAAGAGAAGGCAACCGGTTGAGATTCAAGAAATGAAGAGAAGTTTGTTCGTCTATCTCTTCCTTACCCTTTTGATGTCGTTAAAGATCATCAGACATTGGTCACGCAGCTTGGGTCCATGGTGATCTAATCATAGTGCGCCATGTAAAAGAAAACTTGTTTATTATAGTATAGCATATTAAAGAGGAAATTTATGCTGTAGTGAAGTTTTCATTCAGCAGAGACCATATAGTGGCTTCAACGTTCTGAAGTATATGTAAATTTCTTTTTTTCTTCCTGAAAGGAGTACTAAATGGTTTCTCAATTTGTTGTGATATCCATATATTTTCCCCTTTTCTATAACCTTCATTCCTTTTTTTTTCTCTCTTTTGTAGTTCCATAGTCTGTGAGCAGATCAAAACAGATGGTGGTCTAAAACTGCTTGCAGACATAGTGAAGGATCCCAATACCCCAGTTGAGCAACTGGAGAAGGTCATGAGCTTTAAAAAAGCCTAGTTATTCTATTGTAATTTTGTATCATGCCAAGTACTGACTAGATAATTTTTGTACAGATAATCATCATGCTTTCTCGAATATTCAACACGGGTATCAGCATGGTAGCTGTGGTGAGTCAGGCATCTACATGTGTCAACTGTATTTTGTTATATTTTTCCAAACCGGTGTTTACAATGTTGTGAATTTATCAGCCTGATAGCTCAGCTATTAATGGGTCTGAGGATACAATGCATTCTGAGAAGAGTAATGGTAGCTGTGGTGATATTGATGGTGGAACCAATGGAACTTCCTTCGCATATTTGAAACAAGAGGAGACATCTAGGTTCGTTACAGCTTTGAAACATGCCTAAATATTATCTTACACTAGTACTAGTTAAAAGAGGGATTTATGAGCCTTATGGCTGCAAATATGTAGGCATGTTTGTCATATTTAAAAGCATATTTAGTTTGGATCTGTTGCAATGCACGGATATGATGCTAGTTTACTTAAACAAAGTTCACAACTGATTTGTTTGCTCTTATTTCATCATCCTTAAATATACGCATTTTTAGCTTCTTTTTTGCGCACAGATATAAAGAATTGTTATAAGATTACTATCCTAGGCATATTCTGTTTACCCCTATACTACTACTAGAGGACTAGTAATTGACATTAAGCATCAGGGCACTGAAAAGTAAATGAACTGCTTTGTTTGGTACATCTAAAAATATCCAATTATTTTTTCCCCCGTATGGCTCATCGACCACTTCAAATTATTTCATTACTCTTACAAATAGGGATGTCTGATTAGGACATATTGAATCTTGCTATCATATAGAGATAGTTATTTAGAAAAAACATAATGCCTTTGTACTAATGAAAAACCAGACATTTTTGTAAAATAATTATTATTTATGGATGGAAGATGTACTTTCTACTGCTGAAAAGTTCACTTCCCTGAGGGAAAAGTCTGAATTTAATATCATATCAAGCTGCATGATTAACAAGAACAAGTTTCTATCTTCCTTATCTGTTTTTCAGAATTTACTACTAGAACAAGTACAATGGTATATTGAATTGATTACGTACATGATTGTCAGTAAAAGAAATAGTTCGATGACTGAAAAACTGCCTTGAGAGCTTAAATTTTGTTAATGTAATTAAATATTTTGTCTGAAAGCTTGTTAACTTCATAATGTTTTCTGTGTTGCGATCAATGTTCTCTGATCAGGCGATCAGCCCTGATCGCCTAGGCACCGATCAGGACGATCAGAGCGATTAATCGAGGCTGATCGGTCAGTATATAGTAGGAGTGTCCAGCAGACCATATATGCTACATATTATGTACTAAGTACTCTATAGTCTGTAGTATATGGTAAAAAGCAAGCATCATTTGGTCAGAGAAGAAGAAGAAGAAGCATCGTTTGCTGCCCATTAATCGCCCTGATCGTCCTGATCGACGATTAATCGCCCTGATCGACGATTAATCGGACGATCAACTTTCCTGATCGGCTGATCGACTTACCTGTGCCTGATCGGAGGTAGGGGAGCGATCAGGACGATTAATCGGACGATCAGATAACATTGGTTGCGATAGATCACCAGATCCTTTGATCCAGTCTTTTTCACAAAGTATGCAGAAGCTGCTGATTATCATCTGTTGTGGGTGTGCTAGCATTTGCTTTGTCAATTGCATACTGATGTGATTCTTTTAACTTGTATAGTGTGTCAATCATCGATTTCGACGTCATTTCACGCTTAACTAGAGTTCTGAGGGAAGCATCTCCAAGTTTGCAAGAACAAGTCGCTTCTGTACTGGAGCATTTAGCAGCTTTTGATCAGCATGCAACGGCGATGACTGCTGCTCGCATTGAGTCAGTGATTGAAGCTGTTCTGGAAATGGGAGTTATTCATGGTAAATAGCTTGTTTGGTTTTGCATAAAAAAAAAAGATGCACACTTGAACTTTTTTCTTATCTATATTATTGAATGGTTGGTACTATTTGGTCATTAGCATTTGACAGGAGTACTGAGCTTAATGTAGCATGCTGATACGCTTTGATTTCTGTAAGTGTGAATAAGGCTATACTCCCTCCATCCCAAAATATAAGGCTCAACCACTCATAACACAAAGACCAAGATAACATTTAATCATCTTCTTGGTTGGATCATCTTGATGCATGCAAACAATGTGATTGGGAGGTTTGATGGTATAGGATTTAAAACAAATCAATTCTATTGGACCAAGAGGTGCTAATAAATGTATGCATGCATACACGCCTTATATTATGAGATATAAGAGAAAAGTGGTTGTGCCTTATATTTTGGGATGGAGGGAGTATATAAGTGTGGTAATTGAAGAGTACAATATTTTATCATTATAAGCTAATTATGTTTTATTGATTTATTTTAAAATTCTAATCTACATAAGTCAACCTATGTTTGTTTCACAATAACCATTCTCTACCACGGTAAACTTGTATGGGAACCATGAGTATCAATTATTCAAATTGATGATATTTTAAGATATGGTACTCATATGAAGCTTCACTTCTGACCTGAAGTTCCTTTAGGGATAAAGAGTTCATGCATTTTGCAGGGGCAACCAGTGATGCCCTTCAATCGAGAGTCAAAACCAGATATCTTGTACAAATTACCTTGGCACAAATAATATTATATTTAATTCAGAAATATTATATTGAATCAGTTTTCATGCTGAATTCCTCACTTAAATTTTCTGTCAAAGCATTATCATTAACAACAGCTTTTCTTTTATGAGACATGCTTGAAATCTCTAAATGATGTATGGTGCCTTTCTACAGTAATTTGTGTTCTATCTTTCAGGTACCATGGGCGATCCTGAAAACTTTGATGAGCTTCCTACTGTTGTGATCGAGCAAGTTAGTCGGGCTGTTTCTGCCACTGTTAGGTTACTCACAAAATTACTCGACTTTGATATTTTTGTTCGCAGCATAAATACCGAGAAATGTATTGCTCTGTTAAGAAAAATGTTCAAGTCCAGTATTCCTCTTCAGTCGAAGGACTGGCTTGCAGCATGTCTCATTAAGCTACAATCAACGGCTGGCTTATCAGGACATGAGAGTGTCAGTAGTATAGATATGGAGATAACTATCTACGAGACTATTCCGAGGCTAGTTGACCAGATGATGACCTCATTTTCTTTTGAAAATAAAAGAAATGCTGTAATAGAGCTGAATAAGATAGTATCAGGAGGTGTGATGGAATACACGAGAGCAATTGCCACAGCTGGAGGAATATTTCCACTGGTGAAAATGATTGAAGAGGGTGATGGTGATGCATTGGAAGCTAGCCTAGCTATCTTGTATAATCTGAGCATGGATCCGGAGAATCATCCAGCAATAATTGCTGCTGGAGCAGTGCCGCTATTGAAGCGGATTGTTGTTGCTGAAAGTTCACACTGGAATCGTGCTCTTGAGTTGCTGAGAACGTTGCCTGTATGACATCTCGATGACAAATGACCAATTGTTCTCAGTACACCTTTTAAACTTCACCTTATTGCACTGACAGGTATGTTATTAAATTTCTGACCTATTTCTATCAACTGTTTTTATCCAAATTGTTAGTCGGTGGTCCTGGAATGGTCATTTAGACACTGTTTGTCCTACTAAATATATCAAATTTGGGGCCCATTATTTTAACATATAATCTCTGGATCAGTACTGCAAAGTAGTAGTAGTAGTTCTTACTTAGCTAGTAAGAAAATATAAGGCTGCTTAACAGCTGGTAGGAGTAGTAACTTTGGATTTTACTTCAGCTGTAAACAATAGACTGAGCAGTATGTCGGTTACTGTAACATGTACTGTAGCACAGACTTTAAAGTCCCATGAAAGGACATGTACCCTTGCTAAGTTAGTAAGCTTTTCAGCAACACAAATCAGAGTTTCAGTTCAGAAGTGATCCTACCAACACATTACACTATTTTTCTGGTTAACTGAAGTTATTGGGGGATTATAAAATGGTCCTGTTTGCCCTACTTGTGGCAGATTTTCCAACCAGTTTTGAGAAAATAAGTTTTAGATTAAAAAAGGAGTTAATATAAATAACTACATTTTACATCAGGGATGCAAAAACTTAGTACTACCTCCGTTTCAGGTTATAAGACTTTCTAGCATTGTCCACATTCATATAGATGTTAATGAATCTAAACACACATATATGTCTAGATTCATTAATATATATATGAATGTGGGTAATGGTAGAAATTCTTATAATATGAAACAGAGGAAGTAGTATTGAAGGGTATTTTCACACATTCACACATTGAAAACTTAGGTATTTAAGGTTCATGCTTATTAGATTTTTGCATTGTTGTTCACTTTCTTATGAATAATATGAAAACACAGTTATTGTGTGTTTTCCGCGTCCTTTTTCAACTTCTACTTACAGAAATCAGTACTTGAAAACCTAAAATCTTTCCCCTCATCAAGAGGCAGTTCTTCACATCAGAGCACTTGTATCAGCGCAAACTTTCTGCTCATGGTGTAATCTTTGTTTGCCACATGATTTGTGCTACATGAATTTTTCCTCTATGATGGTCTTCTGACTCTTGGTGCTTCTTGGTATGTTGGGCATAACTAACTATTACAGTGTTGTAATAGTAACCAAATGGCCAACAAAATATCCCGAATATTGACAATTTGCAGATTGCACTTACGGTGGTACCAAGCTGGCTCAAATATGTCATGTAGATAGATAATTTTCATGGCAATGAAGAAGCATTGGTGGAGCCTTCTATGAAATCAGGGGTGTTCCTGATTTCCGGCAACTCGACAATGATTTCACCATTTCATGACCGACCACCAGTTTATCAAGCAACCTGTGACCTGAGCAGGATGAATAACTTTTTTGTGCTGACAGGTAAAGGGACAAAAGTGTGCGCCAGACATAGTAGCAGTTCTTGATAGTACCAAGACACTGCAGAAAATTCACATTGTTGCGGAAATCCACAATGTGCTGACGCTGCTTCTGTAAATGATTCTAAAGAGTAGAATTCTGGTGTTACTTCATCATCCTTGTCCTACTGCCACAGTTAATTTTGCCCTTCTCCCAGTTAGATTATTGCATTGGGGAGAGTATTTCCCCAACATGTAACTGAAGTATTATGAGCTTAGCAAATGTAGTACTTGAAGTAAAAAAAAAAGCCTAACAATCAGCTTGAAGCAATGGGTGACTGTAGCTGCGAGTCTGGTTCGTCTGTCCCATGGCGTTGAAGTTGAACCCAGAGGGACGCGTCGTATATGATGCTATTGGGTCATCACGTGCAGCTCACGTAATTTCTGGAATTGTTTTTCCTTCACCTATGTTGGCATTCATGATGGATGCTTGGTAACTGGGAGGAAATATGTAGTGGTAACTGTTGGAGTAAGTATTGCATTCAACGTTTCCTACTGTGTTCAGACCTACAGCTCGATCAGTTCCTTCATCAGCATATGCATTTACGTTCGGGACAAGCAGTACCCTACTGTTTTTGGTTTTTGGAAATATTTCCTCGTTTCCTACTTGTCACGGATACTATTAAGGTACAAAACCGCTTGTATTTTCTTTTGTTTTAAAAATTATAATTATTATTTTTAAAAAGTTATCAAAGTACTTTGCACGATGAATATAACTATACTAATGTTTATCGAAATATCATAATTTAAAATTTCTTGTTGGTCAAGATAAACGGATGGGGTGTATTGGTGCTGTTTTTACATAGTGTCGCTTTCACATTTTTGGCAATAAGAATAACTGATTTGTTATAAAGTGCGTTTGACATAAAAATTGGATCAAAATCTTGTAGATTCTTCCTGAAAAACACAGAGAGAAAAATCATATGGATTTTGGACGTCTATATTTGCTTCACGATTTATATATGTTCTATGGTCTCCTCCAGCTTTGGTGAACGTTGGCAAGCTTTCTTGAGTTCGAGAAAATTAAAGTCAGGTTACATAGGACCGGCAGCATGAGAGTGTGTGGTGGAGACAAGGGCGGCAAGGTGGCGGTACCTCCGTTGAAGATGCGGGGACGGAGAAGGACGTTGGGTGGCGGTGGTGACTGAGGTATCTTGACCGAGTGGTTAGCTAGCGGCGGATTCGGAGGAGGGAGATGCTAGCGACGGGGAAAGGGAAGAATGGTAGAACGGGGGAATTTCGTCGGAATAGGGGAGGGAATAGGGATGAAAGTGGCAGGGTAGAAACAACAACCATGGTGCTTCCCGGTGAGGTTGCCCATGTTAGGGGGAGGCATATGCTGGATTTTTCACATTTTGGTCCTTTTGAAAAACTTATTTCACAAATAGACCCCTGAAAAAACTTATCCTAGAAATAGTCCTTTTTGGGGCGCCAGAGTGGCTGGCGCCGTCATCCAACGGGACGGCGCCTCTGGCGCCGTCCTCCTGCCATCGTGGCGCACGCGAACCGACGTGGCAGGAGGAGGGCGCCAGCATGGCTGGAGCCGCCGCCTCCATTCCTGTTTCTCTGTATGGAGTTGCAACGGTGTCATTTTTATTTTATTTTTTCGGATGTTTTTTCACACTCAGGACCACGATACAACCAACCACAAAAAAAATTTAAACTCGAACTACCACTTAGGTAAGTCTGAAAATATCTAGCATACCACTTAGTTTACTTTGCACCTTCACTAAAATTAGACCATAACTCCTTTAGTAAAACCCTTTGATCAGCATGTTAAACATAATGCACTCTACCACTATATGAAATTACTTAATCTAATTCAAAATATAACCACATGAAATGACATATATATAAGTTAAATAGTACATAGAGATGCAATTTTTTATTTTTATTTCATTTTTTTTGATATTTTTTTCGCACTTAGGAGAACATAGGAACCAACCGTATAAAAAATAAACTCAAACGGACAAAATATGTGACATGTAGAATTTTCCAAAACTCTACCGAAACGGACAAAATATGTCATCTATTAAAATAGGCGTAACTTTCTCATACAGACTCGGAATCAGGCAAATAATATATGCACGGATATCTACAGAAAATGTTACATCTGATTCTCCCTCGCTTCGCCGGGTTCGGCGATATTAAAACCTCCAAATTCCGCTTGCAAGATTGTGTTTTTAGGAGAGAAGTTTTTTGGTGGAGCTTTGGAAAATTCCACATGCCACATATTTCGTCCGTTTGAGTTTATTTTTTACATGGTTGGTTCCTGTGAGTTCCTAAGTGTGAAAAAATATCAAAAAAATAAAATAAAAATAAAAAAGTTGCACATCTCTCTCCTCTGCACTAGTTCGGAGAGAGAGGAGAGGAGAGGAAAAATTCTACATGCCACATATTACGTCCATTTGAGTTTAATTTTTCTATGGTTGGTTCTTGTGTGTCCCTAAGCGTGAAAAAAATATCAAACAAATAAAACAAAAATAAAAAATTTCGGGGGGGGGGGGGGGAGGGGCGCCAGCCACTCTGGCGCACTCCCCTTAGCCACCTCAGCATCGCCCCGCCACGTCGGTAGGGGGACGGCGCCAAAGAGGCTGGCGCCGTCCTGTTGAACGACGGCGCCAGCCACTCTAGCACCCCAAAAAGGACCATTTTTGGAATAAGTTTTTTTAGGGGTCTATTTACGAAATAAGTTTTTCAAAATGACTAAAATGTGAAAAATCCAGGAGGCATATGTGTGCTAAAGAAGGGAGTGGGAGGGAGGAAGTGAGGAGTTAGGGTTGTATAGTGCGATATCGGATCAAGGTCGTAGCTACTAGCTAGGAATCGGAGGCTCCGATATGAAATGCACAATTGGATCTTAAAATTTGACATATAAATTCCTACGTCCTTGTTATTACGATCGGCGCGATATGACTTGTAGAACGAAAGAAGACGAACAAATTGCCAATCACGATGACTTGTGGATCATGATTAGTTCTGGGCGATTTAGTTTTAGGTATTAGCTAGGTTTGTTGTGCCTTTCTACTTTTAGTTTTGGGCCTAAGTTTTGACCTTTCTAGGCTTGAGCATTCTAGTTATGCCACTAATTAGGTATACTTGGTGTTTCATATGTAATTAAGAATTAGGGGTCTAATTTCTAGGGTGCCCTAAACAGTCGTCGCATACTTTGTATATGCCAATGTATGACCTGTATCGGATTTCTAGCCTTCTAGGGGTCCTGAACTCCGACCCCCACTATACACTTCCAAACTACAATTAGAAGCGCGCATGCCCTAATCATAGTGAGCGGTGATTCAAGATTTTAAGCCATTGCAAGTTTAATATCTGCCATTGCAAGTAGTACAGTACCTATCAAGAAAGTAGAGAAGCCTAGGCTGTGCTCGCAGTCGCAGCACCGGAGTACGCTGCTACTGTTACAGTTGTCAGCAGGCAAGCAGATTGATTGGAGATGTACTGGTGCTGGCGATGCTACAGGGGTTTACCAAATCCCTCGGCTATTTTCATTTTCATTTTCTCGTGCGATCTCCTTCTCCATGTCGTGCTACTCTCTCCGTCTCTCGATATAAGGAATTTTGATATTTTGCTTACATTGTTTGACCTCTCGTCTTATTTAAAAAAATTTATGCAAATATAAAAAACAAAAAGTTGTGTTTAAAGTACTTTGGATAATAAAGTAAGTCACAAATAAAATAAATAATAATTCTAAAATTTTTTGAATAAGACAAATGGTCAAACAGTGCAAACAAAATGTCAAAATCCCTTATGTTAGAGCATCTCCAACAGATTGGCTATTTAGCTCTCTAAGTTAAAATTTGGCTAACATAAAGAAAAAACGAGCTCCAATGGACTCTCCAAGCCATCCGGATGGCCAAATTGTTCCTCCGGTTGGCCAAATGTATCTAGCCTCCTCCTCCACTGGCCAAAGGTGGGTCCTACCACCACTCCCAGTTCCATCTTCCTTTCTCTGCTGTCCACCCACGGCGAGCGCATCGGCCACGAGTGTGTCGACGACGACATCTGGGCCACCACACGCGGTTGTCGTCGTCTGCTCCACCGTCCGCCGCGGCAGTCATCGTTGTTGCCGCTGCGCCACGGTCACGCACGAGTCGGTGCCACGAGCAGTTGCGGCTGCGGCCAACGTCGCCGCCGCTGGTGCCGCCATCGGGGTCAGGGCGGTGTGACGAGGCCGTTCCGGCAGCATGGTTCAAGCGCAAGGCGCGGACCCCGCGGTCGCACGCCGCCAAGAGCGCCGCCAAGAGCGCCGCCATCGGGCAGCTGCTGTTGAGGCGGCTCGTCGTCATTCCCGAGGCGACAGTTGGTGTAAGGGACTCACCGGAGGAGCGGAAGGATGAGGGGGACCCACGGACCTCTCCACCGCTCTTCCGCGCTTCGCCTCTCTTGTCGTCTCGCGGCGGCACGTCGCTCTTATCCATCCCCTCCTCTTGCTGCCCCCACCCGCCGGCCGCCGCCCGATCTCGACGGCGGATCGCCCCGGGATGTGCTCCGATGAAGACGAGCTGCTGGACGCCGGCGGCGGCGGCGGCAACCCTAGACACGGTGAGGTGGGTAGGTGTGGGAATCGGGAGGATTGGAGGAGAGGAAGAAGAATGAGGAGGAAGAGAATGACAAGTGGGGTCCATTGGTTAATAGAGAGTGGAACGTGTAGAGTCTGTTGGAATAGAATGTAAATTTGACTCTCTAAATTTTTGTTAGCCTAGCTAAATAGGTATTTGAAGAGTAAAAATGACTATTCTGTCGGAGATGCTCTTAGTGGGTGTGCGCGTGTGTCCCCCTTGCTAGCTAAGCTACTACCGACCGACCGGCGATCACTGCGGCGACGACCTCAGCAGATCACGAGCACCGACCCACACGTGCACCGCTTTCAATTACCGCAACCGCTCACTACGCGCGTAGTAGTGTTGTATCCTATGATCCTATCCCAGCTTTTCTTTTTGACTTTTACCCTCCCTCCCTCCGTCCCTCGCTTCATTTTTTCCTTCCCTGGCCACGTACTGCAATGAAAGGACCCAACCACTATCGGTTAACTATTAATCCGAGGACAGGGATAGGGGGTGGATCAAAGTATACACCCTGGTCCTAAAATAAATAATCTCGTTCGAAACAAATATCCTTTTAATGCTCTTTATCTGTCTATTCACCAATACAATTTTCTTATTTATGAGACATTTTGATCTTTCTCTCTCACTAGTCACTACTAAAACTCTATTGTGATACAAAATTTGATGTAGGAATATAAAGCATGGCCATGAACAACTTAAAAACAGATTTTTAAAAACAAAATCTACAAAATTGATGAAGTAATAATATTTTTATTGTCCCTACCCGTTGTAAAACAAGAGCATCTGTCTTGGGAGAGTCTAATGGGCAGATGATCACGGCGCGCGATTGATCCGAGCCCGACGCACACACGGCTCCCACCCTAGCTCCCATCCCCTCCCACGGTACGATTTGTTAAAAATATATTTTAGACTAATTCAAAATCACCC